TTTTCTATTTTGCCCCCTCAATTTTCGTCCAAATGTGGGCAAAAATTGAGTCTGTATGTCAGATAGAGACTAAATCAACCCGAATGACAACAAAAATTTGCATGGTGTCTATTCTAGGGGTGCTTGCCACGATGCCGAAGGAAAAACGGGCAAAAAACACTTGAAATCTCTTTGCGTGGTTCCCAAAAGTAGGTCATTTTTGACCCAAAAACAGGCAAAACACGGGGATTTCTTCTTTTTGTCCCCGGGCATGCATCTTTTTTTTAATATTTTTTTCGGAAATGCTTTGAATTACTACCATGACGATACTTGCCAAAGGAAAAGTTCTGGAAATCATTAGAACGTGCGCAATCACTACGAATTCGAAGTGGTCCTTATCGGGGCATTTGTGTTTTACCGGTATTTTCCCGGACAAATGAAGAATACTACGCTGGCACCATGTCATCACCACATGCATTTTTTTTGTTTTTTGTTGTTTCATCGTTTAGGTCGTGTTATAAGCTAACGTTCGATATCTCTCTGTCGCCACAAATCGTCAACACACCCGAGAACGACCTCTCAGAGCACGGGCTCCGTTAAGTGGTCCTTAATCGGCTCATTTACTTACTCAAAACACTTCTATCTGCCATAAACTGGGACTCCGCGAGGGGGCGGCATGGGGCAGGCAAAAGCTATTCTCCGGTTAAGGACAGAAATGGTAGTAACGGAGGAAAATAACTGCTACCTTGCACTCGAGTTTGTTTTGGAGTGTTTCACCATCATCCTCCTTGCTTTCACCACCATCCTTGTCATCGTCGTTTTTACAGCTATTTTTCGGTGATTCTTCTATAGCCCTGCGTCGTTTGGTGTGTGTGTTTGTCTCGCTGTGTCCTCTTTATTTTGAGCATCGACCAGCGAACAGACTGACCAATGTCGCCGTGCTGGGAGTATGTGCAAGCGAAGCGCGCACTACAGCAGGTCTCCGCAAAAATTGAACTGATAACCGCTATTGGTGGCTGAAAACAAACATGTCCAATAACCGCTAGTGAGGGCACGACCGGTTCAGCGGTGGTATGACCGCTAACCCGGGGTGCAGTCGTGTCACAAAATTTTATTACCGCTATGCAGGGCATCCCGCTAAACAGGGAAACGCGAAGCCGGGCCCACGACTGTACGCCATTTTTGTGCACATGAGGAGGCCTCCCCGGCAGGTTCTCTTTCGTACTGCTGATCACTCCATTGCGACACTGACCGGATAAAATGTTGGTACAGTGCGGATCGATCGCCACATATCTATAAAATGCTTTTGTGCGTGGTGATTTTCCGGCGCCAGTCAACAATGACCCAACCCTCCTCTCGCGCCTTGATCCGTCGTGTTACCCCCGCGGTCTGGTTCCTCTGTTTAGGATAGGTTTCAGCTACGGAAAATAAAACTGTTCGATTCCGCGGCCTCACCTTTTTTACCCCGGCATCAGTTTTTTGACCCTGATTTTCTTGACCGCGGTCGATTTCTCTCCGCTCGCGAAAGCTACGAGCGCGAAATAACGGCGGTGCCTTAGCGCAACCGATGCCTCGAGGGTCCTGTCGAAGGAATTTCAATCAAAACGACACCGGTGCCCAACCCAAGCATTTTGTCTTGCTCAGAAACATTTTAGCGTCTTCTTAGTATAGGTGCCCCTTCCCCCCAAATCAGAGTTGATTCATCTTAGCCCGCGAAAGCTACGACCACGAAATCGCGGCGGTGCCTTCGCGCGAGCTACATCTCGGCACTTGTTCTTGGAATTTCAATCGAGGCGACACCGGTGCCAAACGCAAGCATTTTGTCTTCTTGCTCAGCTTCCCTTTAACGTCTTTTAAGTATGCCCCTTTCCCCCCCCAAATCAGAGGCGCCGAGGTCTCTCTTGGGCAACCCGTTGCATGTTTCCGCCACGGCGTTCTCCGCAACCGAGCAAAAGGTAGTAAGTACGTTGCTTACAATACAACCGAGCAAGTAAGTTGTCTCCTCGAGAAAGTAGGTATCATACGCGCCCTTTTTCGCCGTGGCGGTTCGCTTGTGAACACGGGACAACGCGTCCGCGTTGTCAACAGGAGGACCGGGACGGACGGGAGGGGAGATATCCAGTAGAAGGTACTGAGCAGAGACTTAAAATGGTTTTCTTGACAACGCCCGTTCCGTTCGTGACGCCGTCGTTTTTTCACGCCGTCACACACCAAACAAATAAGTCTACAATCCGTTCAAAGGATCAAAGGAAGGCGGACCACGCATTGGAGGAAGCCCTGCGTGAGCAGGGCACTTTATTTGTACATGCGCGCAGAGATCGTAGTCCCATGCGGTCCTTGGAACGTGCCTAGCGAATGAGAACCGTTTGGTTAGCCGGTATACCCAACCAAAACCCATGGCATATAGACTGTGTATCTGTGGTTTGGCGCAGCCCGCGACAGACGATGATGACCCTCCGTCCAGGCATTCTCGGAATGCAAGTGAGGTCAATGTATGTATGGTCTCTAACGACGGCATGCGTTTGCATGATGTAACCCCACACGTTCATATTCGCGCACAATATATATTTCCTCCGACGATCGTTCCGACGAAGGACAAACTCTGGTCGTTGTTTGTTGGTTTGGAGTCTACAACAAATGATACGCAGGAGTTTTCAACGCCTGGTCTTTTCTGCGAGGGCTAGCACGCAACAACAGCGTGGAAGAGACTTATTGGTGTCGGATGGGCTCTTGCGGCTCCAAAGACCTGGAAAACGTTGGACTGGCTGGGGTGCATGTACAGATAGCGCCCGCACTTAAGAACTTGGCAGTTAAGAATTGAGACTCGAAAAACTCAGGAGCTGAGAACTGGAGCGCCATTTGTGAGCCCGGATAAGAACCTCTACACTAAAACCTATATTGCGGCCATTTGTAGCCCACAAGAGGATGATCAGCAAAATAAGAACCCCAGCCTCGGCCGAGACTAGAGGTTCTTAAGTGCGGGCGCCATCTGTAGTAAGAAGTAGACAGAACCAATGTGGAAGCTGTCCAATGTTCCTGTGAGCCGTGTCCCCGACAGACGCACTCGGAGAGGCGCACGGACTACTAACTTACTGTTGTTTTTTGCGATATACCGATGCGCACACGGGCTGTTGTACTCCACTGACGTGCTGAAACATGCAAATAACATATTCTTGCGGTAATCTCAATCCAGACATCCGTCAAACCGTACACCGTACACCGTTAGTACACCACGCCGACACGCCGGTGAAGGAGGAATGCGGTAGATTAACATAAAAGAGTTTGGCCGAAACGACATCGGTTGTCCCGCATTTTGTTGTGGTGTACCGTGTACCTCCATCGGTATATTGTGGTGTACCGGTGACCTGGTGCATGCTTCTACACAGATCGATCTCTGTTCTGCATCTTCAAAAAACTTTACCCGTTCAAGGACGGCCGGCACGTTTCCTCATCATGGTCATAAAATGGAAGTAAAAAGATAAACTATTAGGACTTTAGTCTATACGGCACGGATTTTTACTTGTTGCTCGAAACAAGTCTGTTCGATCATGTATGATATGTCCAACAGAGATTAGGATGTCGAAAGTTTGGCGTTTCCAAAACAAGGGCAGACAGTTACGTACAGCAGCATGCCATGTAAACGAGGCGTATTCGTCGAAGCTGTTCCTCCTACGAAAGAGAAGAATACTACAGGAAAATACGCACACAGCAGTAGAGAGAGGGTACCCACACGCATATATTTTCGAACCCGCGTGTGGTGCGTACAATTTCGACCGGCCGACCCGCGGAGTCTCTCGCTTTCCGCGGACATGGCACCAGAATCCTTGACAGATACCGGTAGACAGGTTGTCATGGGTAGAGTACGCCAAGAAGAAAATTTGCGCGAGCCGTTCGCAGCTGGAAACATCGCTCAGGTGTTACGGCAAGCACGTGCTTCGTTGAAGGAACCTTCACGGCCTTTCACACCCACAGAACGACGTGAGTGAATATGTACAAAGGATACCACAGCAGATAGGCGTGCTAAAGAGGAAAACCGTGACAACCTTGATAACGATCCAATGTAGTCGCCTACTTCTGCGGCTGTGTACGTATGTCATCACCCGCTCCACTCGGGGAACGTCGCGTGCATTTGATGACTGCTACTACTGCTGCCGGTACTCCTGAACGACCAGCAGGAATAACTTACTTTGTAGGAACCCGCCCATGCAAACACTAAACAGCAATGGTACGTACAGCATTGCAGCGCACAGGAACAAGAATCCTCTAAAAGCAAGTACATGCAATTACCAACACACAGCACAGTGTCGAAAATATGCATCATCCACGCAAACAAATAATCACATATCGTCATGTATGTACAAACGAAATTCTTCTGCCATGACTCTTTGTCACAGGTATACGGAGCACCAAGTCGTTGTTCGGGGAGATAGGTTTTCGACCTACGAATAACGACCTAAGCGAAGCTCGTCGGAATGGAAGCGGTCTCGCTGGGAGGAAAATCAGCCCGGACCATGTGGAGAGATCGAGAAGGGGGGGCGGTAGGTGTGGAAAGGGAAAGGATCGACGAAGAAAAGCAAACGCGGTGCTACCTTCTGGCATTGTTCCAGCCGTCCCACCTGAAGGTGCTGTTTGTCCTTCATCAGGCTGGGAGTCGGCGGTGAACACTATGCCACACGGAGAAGGTCATGCGACTAAGCATTTCACCGGTCTCGGAACATCAAGCCGTGTACCGGTGTTGAACAACGGCAACAGTTGTAGTAGTGGATGTAGTTCTTCATGGGCCAAACGGGGAAGAAGGCATCTCGGTGGTGGGGAGAACCCAAATGGCTCAAGATCGCGATCCATCGACAAGCAATGGGATAACAGCAGCAAGCGGAGTAGCTCAATCAAGAGCAGCAGCAGCAGCAGTAGCAGCAGCAGCAGTAGTAGCACCACCAGCACCACCAGCAACAACAGAATTTCGACAAACAAGAAACAAACCGGAGGAGCGAGAAAGGTAGCAGAGGCATCAGCTCAACCGGATGACGAGAGGGACGACTACAGAGGGCTGTACGGTTCGGACGACGACATCGACACCACTGCGTGGGATCTAGGATCCATCTGTAGCGGAATCTTGGGCGATCACGACGAACAAGAAACGTCACCTGCAGGTCCCACCCTCGTTTCGGCGGGATACGATGGGCATTGCTTGGGCCAAGAGTTCATCCTAGATGCGATCGACAACGAGGTCGACCTAAGCAGGAGGGACTTCGGGTTTGATGACGACGACGAGGAGGAGGATGTCGCAGGTCAATGGCACACGCAGAGCATCCCCGACGACGACCGAAGCGATGGACCGCCCGATCCAGGCGCGCTGGAGGGACAGCGAGAGCGCAGTGCGCGGCTAACGGGACTCCTTCAGATGTTTTCTCGGCACCTCGATCACGCCAGCGAGGAGGAGAGAGTCAGGGACCGCCACACGAATGGGGCGAAAAGGAAGAACCAGGGCTCCACCGATGTTGAGACTCCCACTGCCCGTGCGCTCGTCATCTTGTCGAGGGTGATGGACAGACCCTTGCGGGCCGCAGACGCTTCTCCCACGACTGTGACCGAACTCCCCACGCTGCTGGCGGCACGGCTGGTTGTCGGCCTCGTCTTGCGGTTTCCTCTCCCTTCTCTTCGCCCAAGCAAGCCTACGGAAGAAGAAGATGGAACCGGGGGCGACGTCTGGAGCGCACGGCAACAGCTGCTGGTGAAGGCGTGCAGGCACATGTTCGAGGTTAGTAAGAAGCCGGACGCGGACGAAGCTTTCTTTTCGTCGGGGGCGGTCACGGGGGTGCTGGAGTTCGTCGAGCTATCAGCCTCCCGTCTCGATTCGATTTCAGGAGCATCTTTTCGAAAAAATCCAGAAAGGGAAGGGGAGAAACCGGAGCTTGTAAGTGTTGAATACAGCAACGCCTGTATCGGTGATGCTGGTGCTCACAACAGCTCCAACCGAACAAGCTGTTCTAGCAGCAGCATCGCTGACGATAGCAACGCCAGTGGCGATAGAGATTTAGGCGGATGCGTCTGGCACGTCGGGGGCATCTACGACTCACTCACGTTTTCCGTCGGGTGTTTGAAGAATATTTCAGCTGATCAAGGCCTCCGGGATAGGCTCGTGCAGGCTGGCTCGATCCGGGCATTGTGCAAGCTCGTCCGCAGCACCCGCGACCTCTGCGGTCGATGCGAACGGTCGCAGAAGCAACAAGAAGAGGCAATTCAAACGTCATTACGCCGTGTGCCTCCTACCGAAAACGAAGAACAAACGAAGGCAGCCGATGACGTCAGGGAATCTGCTGACCCTGGCGGGGGAGAGGTTGGCATTGGTGGACAAGACGAGAAAGGGCTTGACTGCGTTGATCTACTCCGAAGGCGTGTCTCTCCCCTCCTCGCGCAGGCGATCGGTTTGGTCCGAGATCTCGCCCTAGACGAAACGAACGACAGCGTTCGAGCCGCCGGCTTTGTCAGTACGCTTTGCTCCATTTTTCGACCCTTCCGTAACCACCAAGACGTGGTGCTCAACGCGGCCCGGGCACTGGCGAGACTTAGTCTGCACCAACCAACGAGAGGGCTCATCACCTCGGAACCAGGTCACGTGCGCGACCTATTGGCGGCGTTATTGGAACAGGGTGGCAAAATAGACGCCGGGTTCGAGAGCATCGAAGAGGGCTATGAAGACCCGTCGCGCGCTACTAGTACCACGGCCGCTGTTGCACCTGTTGAGCACAGGCAACACTGGGACAACCAAGGAAAGCGCGTCGCGACCTGCGTGCGAATCGCTTTCACCCTCGGGAATTTAACCTCCGCTAGCGACGAGAACCGCAGACTGATTGGCTTTCGGTTCGGCGGGGCGGAGAGCCTTCCTTCTTTCCTGCACACGTTTTCGAGGGCTTATCTTATGGCCTGGGAATGCCTGTGCTCTGTTAAAACCCATCATGCTGCGTCTGTGGATGGAATAACCGAAACCGGTAGTATTACTGCCTGGGGGGCAAGAGGGACTCCCACCGTCGTGCTCGGGGAGTGCTGGGCAAGAAGGACGTTGAGACGGGCGTGTTACGGTTTAGAGGAAATGCTGGTGAAGGCGGTGCGTCTCCTGGCGAACATCAGCATTCACCGGGACGTTGGGCAGCAGGTTTGTCGCCACCCGGGGCTAGTTGCCTTGGAACCGCTACTAGGAAAGTGCCTGGAACTGTACGTGTTGTATCAAGACGGGGCTCTACCGCAGGCGGGTCTTCGTGACCAGCAGGGCAAACGATGTTGGAGTCAAGGTGGCGATTGGGGCAGCGGTGCGGGACCGGTAGAAGCCGCGACCATTCCCGGCGAGGAGCTGCTCCTGAATGCCGTCTGCCTGATAACAAACCTTTCCTACTATGGTCCCACAGCGGCAAACTGCACCGCAGCGTCACCGGGTGGCCGCACACCCCCCTCCATCTCTTCTACGGGAACGCCTGCCGGTGTCAGCCGCGTAGTTGGCCGTAGCGATGGTGTGGAGCCGTCTGTTTCAGCCGCCTTGGGAAGGCCGCCTCACGGGAACATTCTCTTCGCTCTTGCCGGCAAGGCTCGCCGGGACGTCGACGAGGAACAGGAAACGATAGCCTCAACGGGTGATAGCGTTGAAAAGAGCGCCCGCGCAAGGCCTGACGGGTGTCTTCGTCAAGAGGTAGTCGGCGCACCCGCACTAGCGGTGACGTCCCAAAGCTATCGTCCCGCTACCGGTTCAGGAGAGTACGGCGGTGGTACCGGTGGGCGGACGCGCGAAGAAGTGCTCTGCGGCCACTTGGTGAAAGTCTTGCTTCACCCGAACGCTGAGGCAGTGGCGGAAGCGGCGCGGGCTTTCGGAAACTTCTCGCGTGACCCGTCCTGCAGGAGGGCCCTGACCCGCCGCCGCGCCGACGAGGTTCTGGTGGCGCTCATAGGCCACCCTTGCCGCGAGGTCGTCTTCGCCGCGGTGGGCGCGCTGGTCAACGTTGCCACCGACCCCGCTTGCAAGGCGCTGCTGTGCCGCGAGAGGGTCGGCGCCGGCGAGAGGCTCGTGAGGCTGGTTCGGCGCGCGGGGCTAGCCGACCCGGGCATGGCCGACCTCGCGTGCCAGGCTCTCCACAACTTGTTGATCGAGCCAGGTTTAGGGGTGGACGCGGTCCTCGGAAGCCCCAAAACGTTCAAGAAGCTTTGGCGAACGCTCAAGGAGTTGATGGAGGCGTGCTCGTGTGAGGCGCACTGCTTTGAGCGCCACCGGAAAAGGGATAGAGGGGCACGGTTTGCAGCTGTACGTGGTCACAGCAGGAACTCGCCGGAACTCGAGGGGCTCCTGGCGGCAGCAACGGCTGTCTGGCGAGCGATGAACGAATATAGCGTGGATGGCATGGCGCGGCACGCTTCGTTCATCAAAGAATTTCACGTAGCGACTTAAAACGAACGCGTTTCTGGTAGCTTGTGGGAGCGGGGGGTAGGGGGGGGTTGTGGTTGTCGCCGCTGGCTTTGTCACGTGCCGTCCATGTGTTCGCCGTCTACCTGGATCGCTATCTTATGTTTGACATTATTCGTAGCCTACGTATTGTTCGCGCGTTTGATGTCGTCCCTCTCCACGTTCGACAATAGAAGTGCAGATAGATGCAGCCGTCCTTTTTCTCGGGAGGCTTGTCCGCGCGCTTCGATTTTACATCGTTTTCTAAATATCTACCGCGAGCGTGAAAGGAAACATGCGCAAAATCCTTCAGGGCGCGCGAACATGATGTCAACGATAGCAAGCACCATAACATCAGAAAACGAAACCACCGGAGGCGACTGATTGGCCGGTGATGCCCTCGGCAAGGAGCCCCGCCGCGCACGGCCTACACGCGGAGGCATACCGCTGGGACACAGCGTTCCATTCTCATATCCAGTCTATCAGCATCAAATGCGCGTGGCTGATTTTGGTATGTCATACAATTGTTTTTCTGCCACACACCTCCGTATTTCTCTCTTTATGTCTTTCCCTTCTTCTGTTTTCTTTCTCTTTTCTTCAGGTATGTGGTTTCCTCACGTAGAGTGTAGAGGCGAGCGGGGGGTCCTAGACTATCTGTCGTTGATTTCAATTGACTTGCGGACCCTTCGGGTCCATTTTTATTTTCGTATACCTGTGTTGGGTAAGTTAGCCTGTGACCACGGGAATCGTCCGCGTCAAGTGTTGGACCAGTAGGGAAAGAAGAAGGTGCTGAGTAGAGTGAATGGAAAGTTCATCAATGTGAAGACAACAACAACAACAACAACAACAACAACATCAACCTCCACGACGTAGGGGGGGCTCTTCCGACCGGCGGAAAACGCTTGCGAACATTAACATTCCTCTGTTTCGGAGGCGTGCGAGGAACACCCTCCTACTGCAAGCCTATCGTTGAGTCGTGCTATCGAGGCTTGTTCCGTTTCCGAGCCTGAGCGATGATGCACCTGTCGTCAATAAGGATCTTCTTGCCCTCTACTCTGCCGTCTTTCACCTCAAGAAGTCAGCATTTTTCGTCAAAGGCGGAACTTCCCGGACAGCTTTTTTTGTTTGGGTGCCTTTCGTTTCGGCTAGCAGCTGCCAACCCCTTCATCTACCTTTAGTCGAAGCGTGCGGAAAAGAGGAACTGGGTGGAGGCGGGAAAGTATTATTTGCACGGTGAAAGCCAACGACAGCCGCAGCAACAACGGTCGCAGCCACAACATACACACACGGGTATAGCCAAACGAAAAGGAACCACAGGGAGGGGGTAAACATTCGTCTGCTTCACGCCTCTCTTCGCTGAAACATACCGACCCCCCCCCCGTTTGGGTTTTCGTCGCTTGGCAACGACGTTGTAAAACAAGCCGCCCTCCCCCCCCCCGGCGTTTGCCATCGGGGTTGGGTTTTCGTCGCTTGGCAACGATGTTGTAAAACAAGCCGCCCCCCCCGGTATTTGCCATCGGGATTGGGTTTTCGTCACTTGGCAAGGACGTTGTAAAACAAGCCAATTCACTTCGTGAACTCGGCAACCAGGTTACCGTTTTTTTTTTTTTTACCTCCGGTTTTTTTTTTTGGCGGTAACGATCATGGTGGTCGAGTAGATGGGGTGAACCCTCACTCCGCGCAAGGGGGATGATCGCACCACGTTGTGTTAAAATGGTCAAGCACCCTCGAGGCAGTTACACAGTGCTTACAACTGTCTCTGGAATGAAAGCACCAGAAAGTAAATTAAGTCATACGCAGCTGTCATCCGTACGCAAGGAAGTAAGCACAAGATGCCGAATATTCTTAGCAGGATGCAGCGCACCCTTCATGCAACTCGCCGAATACCTCACGGCGCTTCGCGCTTGGTGATGTGAGAGCCTGGTCCGGTGAGAACCCGGCGTGCTCCGTCCCGGCTTTGTAGGGATGCGAGGTCAATGGTCT